AGATCTGGCCATCTAACTCCCCAGACTGCAACACCCTTGATTATTATGTGTGGGGTGCAGTTGAGCAAGCGACCAACACAACTCTTTGTGACACCAAAGATGAACTGAATGCAATGATTATAGCAGCATTCACCAACCTAAACAAGGAAACCATTCAGAAGAGTTGCAGGAGATTCCAAAGTAGTCTGGAGGCTCTGGTTGAAGTCAATAGCAATTTTATTGAATAAATTTAATCTTTAGTATTTGAGTATTTAATCTTTAGTATTTCAAGATCTTTTTGTTTAATTTTGGTAAATATATCTGTTTAAATCAGATGTCTGTATTATTTTCATTTTTGAGTAATTTAGATGACAATTTATCCATCGCACCCTGTATTGTGTATTTTTATAATGATCTTTTCCAATTCTCTAATTAGTTCCTTGATGCTAAGATGAAATTCATCAAGGAAGATGCTGTTGTTTTTTCCTACCCAAGTACTTTACCTCTGAGGATGATCCTGGAGGAAATTGAAAGTACTTGGGTAGGCAAAAACTATGATACTTTCCTTGATGAATTTCATCTTAACATCAAGAATCTGATAAGAGAACAGCAAAGGATCATTACAGAAATAACTAGACATAATATATCTATATTATTCAATGAGACTTATATATATGCACATTATATATATATATATATATATATATATATATATATATACACAGACACACAAATATATGTATATGCATACATACGCACACACTATATATGTGTTCTGTGTGAGTGTTATGTTTGCATAGTGACAGTAGATAAATTAGTGGCCATCATTGATAACAAGTGCTTACCACTCTGTGACAAATGGCAACACAGGAAAGTCTATTATTTAGAAGTATTGATTAAAATCCAAACAAATCACGTGTGTACACAACAACAAATTAATAGAAGAGAAATGAAACACTGTAATTCATTTCCTTCCTTACAGTTATTAAGCAGCAAATCAAGGGCAGTTCTGTAGAAATCTGAGAAAATGACTGCAAAGTGACAAAACAAATGAGATCAGAGAATGTGCCAACTGAAAGAACTTTCAGTTTCTCTTTCTCTCTCAAGAGTTGCATGAAAATCAGTTTATTCCCTTTTCTCATTATTTCCAACACAAACTCTTAATTAAAGAAACATTTTTGCTCAACTTATTTTATTGCTTTGTTTTACTAAATTTTCAGCTAATACAAGGCCCAAGAGCCAATCAAAGCAGATTATTATTGAATGAGGTTGTTATATGGATGTAAGAGGAGGAAGTAAACAGTTTCTTTTCTTGTACTTCCTGCCTGTGGAAATCCCTTCCATTTACTTGCTTCCCTGATAACTACAATCTTCTAAAATTTAAATGCAGTGTCACTCACCATTTTCTATCATCCCGTTCATCTTTTGTCTTTTACTCCCTATACTCAGTCTTTTCTCTCACTTTCACTCCCCGTACCCCACCCACCTGCATATTAGTGGCATTTCTGCCTTGCTTGGGATGAAATGATTAAAAAAATAAAATAAAAGTAAGTGTATATTGTTGCAACATGTACAATAGATAAGGGTTCACGATTAGGGAAGTATTCATTTGTGATTCTCTTCCAAAAAGGGTGAAACTGTCTGAATGTAACTTTTTTCTTACCAATGAAATACAAAAGGAACGAGGATGATTTAACTCTGTGCATGTAGTATGGTGGATTTTTGCTGTAATAGTCTGACCTGGTGTAGCTAAAGTATATAGCACATCTAAACATTTAAATGTCTGTATATGTTTGACAAATGTCTTGTAGGCTATGTGAGATGGCCATAAAGAGACTCAGAAAACAAATGGAAAGAGACATTTGTCAAAGTCAAGTACTTGGGTGGTCATGTCTATTTTAATTCATGACTGACGAGGAAGAAGATTTCCTACAGTAGGCTTCTGTTACTTTCTGTAGTATGCTGGTTGCCAACCAAGGCAATAGGGCCCAGTCTGTTCTGCTATTTAACCCATAGATGTAGGGGGAAGAGATAGATTCATATCTTTCTAAAGGGAACATGTACATGAGTGAATATAATAAATCTAACTGGAACTGGAACACAATGCACATACATGTGTACATTTTTTAAATAGTAGAAATCTGGATTAAAAATGAAGCAGCATTATAATAGCTCAACTTAAATTTAAAATTAGAAAAAACAAGTGATTTAATTTTTTGATTTTTTTCTAGAATTTACAATTTTCATCCTCTTTTTCCTCTAAAAAAACACAAGATTCTATCAATTACAACTTCCACCAACCAAAGTGAAACTCTGTTGGCTTTCCAGTCTGCTTTTTTCTTGCTTGCAGACATTCTATCTTTGCAAATTGTGATTTTTCATTCTAAGACATAATGCATGGTCGTTAGCGAAAGAAACACGCCAAGCGAGTACAAAAATTTAAATATCAAGGAATTGTTTTAACAGAGGATGCAAAATGCAACACAGTAATCTAAAAGTGCACTGGAATAGTGAAAGTTGTCTTCCAAAAGCTAAGCAAAGTATTAAGAAAAAGGTAAATTTAATTCATGAACCCATAACCCATGAGGGTCATAGAGACACCACATGTATTGCTGCTGCAGTAGCGGTCATGTTTCTTGGGTAAGACAGCCTAGCAAAGCGCAGCCTTCTCCAGGCTGGTTTTGAATTACAGAGTTTTTTCTTCTCATAGACCTATTGTTACCCAAAGCTACAGAACCTAGTCTGTACTGTTATTTATCCATATCTAGGGAGAAGAAGACTTAATTTATACCACTCCCAAGGTTATTAGCACATAAGTGAATGTAATGAAAATTCAAACTCAGTTCTCCAGTTCCTCAATCTGAGCAGCTATCCATTATTTAACCATGATTCTGCATTAGAAACAAAGAAAAGAGTGCTGAACTTTTATATAATGTTGGTTCTCCAATATAGTAGTGAATTCTGGAAATCTCCTCACAAGACTTGAGTTAGCAGAGACGTGGTTCTACAGAAGGATGCTGAGGATACCATACATTTTTTTTTATCAAGGCTTTGACACTACTGAAGCATGAAATAACTATAATGCTTGACTGAATTTTGTTAGATGAGAATTTTAATCATTGTCTGAGGGCTGGTTCAGCCTAAGTTTGGTGTTTTTGTTAATTTCACATTTCAGTTGTATACGTTTCTACCTTAGGCAAGATTCTATGAAATTCCAGTATACAACAGACACACCTAGATGGCTGGAGAGAAAAATAGCTGGAACATTTTGAAGAAAAGAAATGAAGAACAAAAATAAGTAAATTAGTTCAAAACAACAACCAAGACTTCAGATAATGTGTTGGTTCCTCGAAACAAATCTAGTAACATATTATAGAAATTTAAATAACAGATAATTTAATCATCTTACTTTCCTTGAAAATAATGTCCTCTTTCATAATTTTTGTTCAAGGACAAGATATTGTCCATTGATTTTGAAAACAACTTACTGGAGTTTCAGTGCTTCATGATCAGATGACAGGATATGATAAAATATGGTCCGTCACAGACTGGAAACTCTGATCAAAACTTATGGAATATTTCCACTCACCATTACTAAGACTGAATTTCAAGGGTCAGAAGAGAATTAACAATAAGGCCACTGAAAAAAAAAATGATTTATGCAGATGGTAGGTGACACTGGTTATAGCAAAAACTATTAGTATGTTAATTGTAAGAGAAAGATAATGCCCAAAGAGACATTGTTGCATTCTGTCAGTACTCCCAACACTCCAACAACAAAAGCTTTAATATGAGCTGGAGCATACTGTGGAGATCCAAGTCTTACAGTAATAGTAGCAATGTTCATAGGCTGTGATAAAAATAAAAACTAGTAAAATATCCAGACCAAGAAAAGCTGTTAAATGAAAGGTCTGAAGTTATGTCAGGGTGTAGACACCATAAAAAGTATATTTTGGGATGAAAGTATTTCAATTCGTTTTTTAACTCACCAGTCACAAAGCCTCTCTCTCTATGTCTTCCTTTGCTTCCACACCTTGCTCCCTTTATATATATATCAAGTTCTAAAACTAATCCACTTCCAAAATCTTACCAAATGGACAATTGTAGGGACATTACTATTAATAAAAAAAAAAAAAAAGTTTTATAAGCACTTTTGGTTATACTTTTAGCCATTATCAAGGATGAATTTTATTTTACTTTTAACTGAATATATGAATTGTTTTATGTATGTCTCTAGAGTTATAGGAATTTTTTATTTTCCAAACATGGTCTGACAATTGTAGGGACATTACTATTAATAAATAAAAATATAAAATAATAATAAATGTTATAAATAAAATAAACATCATTAAAACTTTGTTTAAAATAAAATAAATAAAACCAAAATAATAAAAGTTCTCCAAGCATGCAACAGAAATTTTTCCTGTCTGAAAACCAGATACTTTGTGCCCAAAAATGCCAAACTCACTCTCTTCGTTATGAAACTTTAGAGGGTCAAAACATCGATCTCCTCTCCTCAGCATATTGCTTGCCATAAGACAAAGTGACTTTCTTCCTCTATTACATGCAATATTAAAACACATATAACTAAAATACACACACACCAGTCCACAGGAATAAATAAAATTATATGATTTTAATTTACAATCTAACATACTTTTAGTGTTATTTCCATGTATGTTTTCATTCCCATGAACACAAGGCTATCCCAGCTGGTATGATGTGAGTGACCCCACACAATCATTTTTTTGGTCTGAGCAAAAACATTTCAGCATTCTTTTATTTACTTTTTATTCTTGCCTGGTTTTATTTTCATTTTTTGCTAGATAAATTAACTCATGTCTTTCTTCACATCCAATTTTTCATCTCTTCTTTTCCAGTTCCTTCCTGCCTAACATAACCTTATATTTTAACATTTAGCTGATCCCAGCTCAAAATTGCCGGGGATCAAGAAGATAATATACTCTGATTGTTAATAAAAACAAAGCATACAAACAAACATATAGATCTTTGCTTGTGACTTACGGCCATATCATGTTGAAACATGTTCTCGTATGATCACAGAAGTTAAGCATTGAGTCTGGTCAGTACCTAAATGGGTGACTGCTTGGGAATATCAGGAGCTGTAAGCTTGGATGTGCAGGTGGTATAATGGATAATGACTCAAAATTGTAAATCAGAGAGACAAGTTCCAATTCTATTTGGATTCGTTATATTCACTTACATGCAAATACTTTTGGGCAAGTTATATATCCACCTCTTCTCCGCACAGGTATGGGCTAATTACTAAGACTCATATCAGTAAATCATTATTAACTACAAAAGAAAAAAAAATTCTTACAATCTAAAAATATTTTCTAGCTTTAATTAACCTACAATGAAAAAATGCCATGTTAGAGGGTGTCTTAATGGATATGGCAATATGTTGTTTTTTGTTAGTGGCTGAAATATGTACACTGTTATTAATATTCTATGTTCAAGGTCAAGAGAAAGCTATGATTCTGAATGCTGATTTTCAGAGTAGAAAAGCTCTGCATAAATAAATGTTTGTGTACCTCCTCATTATCATTTTCTGCTAAATGGCTTTATGTAAATATTGATTCCAGTGAAAATAATATTCCTTGCATTTACTGTTTCTTGGAGCAAAATACTATTATGGTTTTTGAGTTCAGTCAAATGGAACTTATCCAGGAAGTTAAGAACAACCTTATTGATTTCCTTAAATTTTGTTTGTGTTAAGAACCATGAATGCCAATCTTTGAAAGTCATAAGGCACAATTTTTATTTTTAAGCATTTCACCCCAAGCAAGGCAAGCATGCCACTAGCAAGCAAGGGGTTATAGAGAGTGGGTGCAAGAGTAAAGTGACGTGATAGAGGAAAGGATGAGGAGAAGGATGGGGAATAGATCAATCAGTGAAAGTAGTTCGTTGAAAGTATTTGCAGAAAAGACAGAGGGAAGCAACTGCACATCTGTGACAGAGCAACTGTAAACAAGATACCAGGTCAGCACCAATCACATTGCATATCCGTCTCTGGATTTTGTTGAGGGCTTTTTTTGTAGAAACAGTTAAAATATATATATATCACAATCACAGCAGATTACATATATATATATATATATATATATATATATATATATATATATATATATATATATATATATATATTGTGTATTTGGGCAGCAATCCTATTTTATACAAGTTTCATAGAAAAAAGACTGACAAGGTGTGATGGTTGAGTTTTTTATATAATTTCTCATATGTTTTGTATTTTTTTTTCTTTTCAGGACATAAATTACATAAAAATTGTCCAAAAGTTTTATAAGCACTTTTGGTTATACTTTTAGCCATTATCAAGGATGAATTTTATTTTACTTTTAACTGAATATATGAATTGTTTTATGTATGTCTCTAGAGTTATAGGAATTTTTTATTTTCCAAACATGGTCTGACAAACAGAGTGCTGATGAATTGAGCTGCTTGACCCTCATATGTTGAATACAATGGGAGAGTTCACCATATATGTATGTAGATTGTTCAGATGATTGCATTCATCTTTGCTGTTTTAAGAGTTTATTTGCATCCTTGTTATTATTGAGACAATTTTAAAGCCTGGATATTCTTTGATTTTTCTATCTTTTATTAATATATTCTTATTCTTATGTTTTATGAAGTTTCATCCCTCAATCCATATATAAGTACATAAAGTGATTATTAGTGGTGAAGAAATAAAACCAAATAATATTAACAGACTAAAATAGAAGTCTTACATAATAAGGACTATTATATATAAATTAGTATTTGTTATAACCAGGAAACCTGAGTTTGAATCTCACTTGATTTGATTTGCCAAAGAGGTGACTTGATAACATCAGTTTGGGAGATAATCTCTGCATCTGGCACCATATAAAAGTGCCTAAAAACCGTACCATGGATTAAGCAAAGCCTTGTGATTAAAAGTGGGTGATTGAAGCTTTTTGGAATGTCAACATAGTCACAAGACATCATGACTAAAAAGTCTGAGAATAATAGCTTTGTTCATTGACTGATCATGCCAGGTTATTCACTCTCCCCCAGAAACTGTAACTGAGGTCTGCTCATAGACATTTTGATAGAAGTCAAAACAGCAAGGATGTGGATGCTAGTCTGAATAATTTATGAAAAAATTGCTATCATTTTTCCATAAATTATTCTGACTAGCATCAACATCCTTGTTGTTTTTATCGCTACTTTTAGACATAGTGCTTTTCATCCTTCCTCATAATCTGAAATTTTAACATGAACCATTGTCATTATTCCAAAAGTCATTCATACTAGTATCCTCATCCTTATTGTTTTTATCACTATATTTTCAGCAATGTGTTCTTCAGCCTTCCACATAGAAATTTTAATGTGCCATTGTCGTTATTCCATGAGTTATTCAGACTAGTATCCATCTCCTTGTTGTTTTTATCACTAAATTTACACCAATGTGTTCTTTAGAATTCCTTGTCTGTAATTCTATGACAGGAATTGTCATTATTATACAAATTATTCAGACTCGTATTCTCTGAGCAACACATAGAATAATGCTAATAAATCATCTCAGAATTTCACAAAATGAGGAAGGCTGAAAAACACATTTGTCTGAATGAAGTGATAAACCCAACAGGAATATAAATATTAGTCCAAATAGCTGATAGAATGAAGTTCAAAATTACTTACAGAAACAAAGATAATCATGATTGTGGAGTTAGTTTATAGCCAATAAGCAATCAAAATCATAATCAATTATCAACCTGTTTCTACTCAATTCTTGTTCCTTTATTCATCATTTTCAAAACTGTCATTTCCCAAGACAGTCATATTTTTCTCTTTTTGAATAATCTTCAGTAGAAGCCAAAAATGGCTATAAATACTTTACTATACCACCAAATGATTTTTTTTTATCTCCAACCATTTCCAGAATTCTTGTACAGATATTTTGGTATAAAATTTTCTTCCTGTTACCAGGAATCTCATCGAATTCTTCATAATACCCAAATTTGCATTGGCTTTCTGACTATTCTAGCCTAACTTGGTCAATTGCCAAAAAATATCTTAGTCTTTTTGCCAACATTTCAGTCAATTAAGGATGATATCTGTTGTCAGTTATGATCCTAAAAAAATCCATAATTTCTGAAAAATCTTCACTTTCAATTCCTTATCCACGTTGGAGGCACAAATGACTTGCTAACTGTGGTAGTTGCTCATCATGAGATATGATTAGTTAATTTAAACCCTGTTGCTGTCTATAATTTCTAGAGATTCATTACAGAATGCATCATTTTTATCATTGAACAAAGGTATTTAAATTTACTTGTTTTAAGACTTTTCTATAAATGAAATGAAGAATGTTTTCTTCAATTGACTTGTCTTGAAACTTTAACAAATAAATTAACATTGAAAAGTTCTAGGCTTGGTTTATTAGCAGATTATAATTCAACAACTGGATCAAATGTGTTGAACCACAATTCATGTCATTTTTTATCCACCGCATTAACCTTTTGGGTGAAATAGTAATTTCCACTTGTGCTAGAGATTGGTAATTGAGCCCAGATAATAATTTAAGAGTTTGAATGCAGATTTTCAAAGAACTTCAAAGATTGTTGGAATATAATATACCTACATATATTTGGAGTTATGCCATATTGTGCTAATAAATACAACAGTTACCCCATTATCCACAGTTTAACTTCTCATGTTTAATACCAGAGATAAACATTCCATAACATTTATTTACAAATAGTGTCAAAGTGAAAGATTGCAGATGATGGCAATCTGAATATGTTAAAAGAATTTCCTTTAAAGATCTCAACTTAATAAGGAAAGAAAAAATTGTGTTTAGTTTGCTAAGATTTACAATGAAAAATATTTATCAATCACATTACTTTTATTACAGCATCTTGATATATCATTCTACTTTATTATTAAAGTGATGTTGCCTATCCTGAATCCATCATAAAAATTCAGGATATGGATTTGTAAATACAAAACACTTAAATTACTTGAGTGTATGGATCAGTTATATCAAATTTAGTATAGGAAATAAGGAAGAACATAATATAGTCTATGCTAAAGGTAGTTTTGCCTATCACTGTAAATTGCTATAAAACCAAAAAATAACATGAAAACTAAAGTTATGTTCTTAAATAGCCTTATCAAATTGAAGCTTTCATATGGAAGCCATACCTAACACCAAACCCATTTAGAAATATTTAAATTGTCTGCTGTAAACAACTGCTAAGATCAATGGTTAAAAATGGATTTGAGTGAGTGAAATCTGTGGTTCTTTGGAGAAGTCCATCTGTCTTCGAACATTGTGGACTGGCGCTATAGAATCATAAAGAAAGAACTGTACTGAATAGCAGAAACCACATCAGTTGAGGACTATCAACAGCAGCAACAACTAAAATGGATATCACATGTAACTCAAAGAGAAAATAATGAAATATTCAAGATCTTGATGATGCATACTATTTCAAATAAAAGGCAAGGAAGGAAATTCCCATCAATACTGGAAAAAGTGACAACAGTTACAACAGCTAAAATGGATATCACATGTAACTCAAAGAGAAAATAATGCCATAATCAAAATTTTGACCTTTGAAACTACTTCAAATAAAAGGTTAGGAAGGAAACATCCAGTAATACTGGAAAAAGCAATAAAAGTTACTGAACATGAGAAACCTGTTTTATAAAAAATCTATCAATCACATTACTTTTATTACAGCATCTTGATATATCATTCTACTTTATTATTAAAGTGATGTTGCCTATCCTGAATCCATCATAAAAATTCAGGATATGGATTTGTAAATACAAAACACTTAAATTACTTGAGTGTATGGATCAGTTATATCAAATTTAGTATAGGAAATAAGGAAGAACATAATATAGTCTATGCTAAAGGTAGTTTTGCCTATCACTGTAAATTGCTATAAAACCAAAAAATAACCTGAAAACTTGAGTTATGCTTTTAAATAGCCTCATCAAATTTAAGCTTTCATATGGAAGCCATTCCTAGCATGAAACCCATTTAAAAATATTTAAATTGTCTGCTGTATACAATTGCTGGGGTTAGGGTTAGGGTTAAAATGGTTAAAATGGGT